CTTAAAAATGCTTTCAATCTTTTGTAGCATTGTTTACTTTTCCTTACCCCACAGACTCCGGGGCTGGCAACAGTTGTGAAGACAGCAGCCCACACTGCCAGCATGGCACCTGTGGTCATTGGTTCCAGACAGAGCAGGGCAAACCATATTTGCGAATTCTTGTGTCAGTTTTTCCCCAGAGCCACCTGAAGACTGACACAAAGTGCTCATCTCTGTCTGTCTTATTCTGAACCCAGGCTGGAAAAGCATCAGGTGTCAAAACTTGGAAGAACAAGCATGAAGCAAAGGCATTCCATAAACCACCGAATATCATGGAAGAAAATCCAAGGATAGAGGAGCAAGTTTCTTTATGATGTTAGGACAACCCAAAGCACCTCTTTTTGCAGGGAATCTAGAAAGCCATGCACATGCCCAGGACAGGTCACTAACTCACCATAGACCTGAATAAATCTTGAGCTTGCATCATGGGCTGATTCCCAAGTGCAGTGCAGGTCTGGCTATGTATCAAAGGAAGTCCCCAGTAGGCAAAGACTGAGAGGAGTGTTTTGTTTTGCTTATAATTTTTACAAATTTATTTGCAGAGGGGAGGTGCTCCTATGTGCTAGTTCACTCCCCAAATGCACACAATGATCCCAGGGTCAAGATCGAAGCTGGAGCTGGAACTCAATACAGGTCTCCCCTGTGGGTGGCACAAACCCAACCACCTGAATCCTCACCACTGCCTCCCACGGTGTGCACTAGCTGGAAGCTGGAACCAGGAATCAAACTCAGGCACTCTGGTGTGAGACACAGGCATCTTAACCACTATACCAAGTACTTGCCCCTAGTTTGTTTTTGTTTTTGTTTTTTGTTTTATGTCAAAAAGCTCACTGAGGGGCAGGCATTGAGACACAACAGCTTCAACTTCCAGTTGGGAGGCTCACATCCCACATAGAAGTACTTGGGTTCATGTCCCAGCTCCTCCACACTTTTGATCCAGCTTCTCGCTAATGTGCCAGGAGGCAGTGGATGAAGGCCCAGGTACTTTGGTCCCTGCTACCCACATGGGAGACAAAAATGAACTTTCTGCTTCAGATTTTGGCCATGCCTTGCCCAGTAGTCTCTGTACCAATGGTTGGAAAAAGTCCAACTATAACAGTACTATAGTAGCACAATTCTACTATGGACCCCAACAAGTCAAAAAAACAAGAACACTACTATAGACTGCAATATATATATATATAACCAAGAGGAAGGGACAGAAGCCAGTTTCCAGAGTGGCCACATTACACTATTCAAAAATCTAGAAAAAAAAATCACAAGGCACATGAGTAAATATGAAAGGGGAGCTTAATTGAACAAAATAAGTGGATTTTTAAAAGCTGTCTCTGAAGAAGCCTAGACATTGGATTTATTAGACAAAGAAAGACATTCCCTTCTTACTTTTAATCAAACCCAGGCACTCCAATGTGTGACAGAGACAGAGAGAGTAACAAAGAGATTGCCCACCCACTGTTCACTACCCAAATGCCTTCAACAGCCAGACTGAAGCCAAGAGCTAGGAACTCAATTGGGGATCCCCACATGGGTGGCAGGGACCCAACTAATTGAGACATAATATGCTGCCTCCCAGGGTATGCATCCGTAGGAAGCTAGAATGGAGAGTGGAACTAGCACTTGAAGCCAGGTATTCCAACATGGGATGTGGGCATCCCAAGTGGTGGTTTAACCACTGCACCAAATGCCTGCCCCCATACAAAGACTTTAAAACAGCAATCTTAAATATCTTCAATAAGACAAAGGGAAATATAGACAAAAAAAACTAAAGGAAATCAAGAAAATAGTATGTGAACAAAGTGAGACTACCAATAGAGAGATGAAAATTGTTAAAAGGAAGCAAGTTCTGGAACTGAAAAATACACTAACTGGAATAAAAAAAATTTCTGGAGAGATTTGTATTATTTTTCTAGAACTGCCATAACAAAATAACACAGACTAGGTAGCTTAAATGATGGCAATTTAGGGGCCAATGTTGTGATGCAGTGGGTTAAGTCACTGCTTGCAATGCTGGCATCTCATATTGGAGTGACATTTAAAATCCCAGCTACTTAGCTTCCAATCCAGTTTTCTACTAATGCACCTGAGAAGGCGGCTGAAGATGGCTCTTGAGTGCGTGGGCTCCTCTGACCCACATGGGAGTCCAGAATGGAATTCCTTCTCCTGGCTTGGGCCTGCACCAACCTGGGTTTTGTAGCCATTTGGGGAGAACACTTCCATCTGTTGGTTTACTGCCCAAATACCTGCAACAGTCAGCTGTGGGCTGGGCTAAAGCCAGGAGCTTTATCCCTACCACGTGATTGGCAAGGATTTGAGAGTCTGAGCCATCATCTGCTGCCTCCCAGGGTGCATGTTATCAAGAAGGTAGAATCAGAGCCAGAACCAGGACTCCAACCCAGACACTCCAATATGAGAAGAAGGCATCCCAACAACATCTTAAACACTGGGCCAAATGCTCACCTCACACACAGTGTTTTTAAGTATTTATTTATTTGTGTGTGTGTGTGTGTGTGTGTGGGTATGTACATATGTGTGTGTTTGAAGAGAGAGAGGGAGTGGGAGAGAGATCTTCACTCCACTGACTCATTCCCCAAATAGCCTCAATGGTCACGACTGGGCCAGGCCAAAGCAGGGAGTCTGGAACTCCATCTGAGTCTCCCATATGGGTAATAGGAACCCACATACTTAGGTCATCTTCTGTTGTCTTTCTATGTGTAATAGTAGGGAGATGGGTTGGAAGCAGAGCAGCTGGAACTCAAACCAGCAATCCAATATGGGATGCCAGTGCCACAAGTGGGCAGTTTAACCCACTGGAAAAGAGAAACTGGTAGGCTCCAAACACAAAGAAAAGATAAAGAAATGCAAAGGCTAATTGCCTGGTTTGATAGATTTACACTGTGTGTATGTTAAAATATTGCACTGTACTCCATTAAAACATAGAATTATTGCATGGTAATCAAACATTTTGGCAAATAAATACTTTTTAGAAGCAGCATTAGTATACAAATTAGAGCATTAGAGGAGAAACTTTAACATAAAATGAATAAAAAATTATGTTAAAAAAGAAAGATCAGGGCTGGCATTGTAGCACAGCAGATTAAGCTGCTACCTGTAATGCTGGCGTCCAATTTGAACACCAGTTCCAGTCCTGGCTTCCAAGCTCCCAGCTAATGTGCCTGGGAAAGCAGTAGAAGACGGCCCAACTGCTTGGGCTCCTGCACCCATGTGGGAGACCCAGATGGAATGCTAAACTCCTGGCTTTGGCCTGGCCCAGTCCCGGATATTGTGGCCATTTAGGGAGTGAAGCAGCAGATGGAAGATCTCTTTCTCTTCTGTAACTGCTTGTCAAATATATAATAAATATTTAAGAGAGAGAGAGATGTCATATGGGTGGCAGAGACCCAACTACTTGAGCCATCACTTGCTGCTTCCAGGGTATATATGACCAGAAGCCAGAATCAGAAACAGCCAGGACTCAAACTAGGCACTTTGACATGGGATGTGAGTGCTCCAAGTGACATCTAAACTGCTACACAAAACACCTGCTCCTCTGATGAGGTTTAAATCAAAGAAAATATGAGAGGCAGCTAACACAGTGCTTGACAGAGTAGATGCTCAAAAGTTGGCTTTTCTGTGACCCTATTTGCAGTAGCGCATCCACGAACACGCACAGGTCTTCTCCATGAAATGACACCTAATGAATAGCTCAAGATGATTTTTTTTCTTTTCTCTACATTCTTAAAATAACTGACGATAATACAATTCCTGCTGTAGCTATTTTATCTGTACACACCCTTTCATCAAATAAACTCGTAAGTCCTTTGAAAGCAGTGGCAACACTGCATTCTTGCAGCCCTCGGAGCCTGATAAAGTCACTCACATAATGATCCCTGAAGGAAGCCCTGGCTGTGAAAGCAATGTGGAACCCAGGACAAAGCACTGAACTTCGGGTCCTAAGACTTAGGTTCTGGTCCTGATTTTCACACATGTGAGATTTGTGACATTGGACCAAAAAAAAAAAAAAAAAAAGTGAATGTAACTGATAATTAGTCTCTAGTTTGGGATAATAGGTCTGCCCTATCTACTTTTTCAGGAAGAGCTGTCAGTGAGATCCACATGTGACCCCATACATGGGAAAGCACTTGGCAATTCCTAAACAAACATAACCCTACCTGGGATCCTGAATGTACACAAGCAACCAAATTCTTCTAGAACTGTTTTTATCCTGAGCTGTTGATAAGTGCCCCCATCCTTCTGGTGCTATAAAAGGCCAGAATGGGTGAAATAAAACCTGTTGGGTGGTAATCATTTACAATTAGACCATTGTAGCCAATTATACCTAAAGTTAAAGCCTATCTGCAACCTACTGCAAAGATGCGGTGATTGACAGTTTTTTAGTGGTGAACTCCTGAGTATGCAAAGACTTATGCCCCACACTCCATTAGCAATAATGGGAGTTGTGCCTACTAGGCCCAAGGAGAGATGAGATTTAAACGTGATCCATAATCTATCTTACTTCATGTCATCAGTTTCCCTATAGTCTCTTCAAACAATCAGACGCCAGTGAAACGCCTTAAATGGAACTAATAGCAGCGAGTCAGGAGAATATTGACAATCAATTTCAATGAACTTTTCCAGCACAAGAAATACCTGCACACTCTTTCAGCTGCTGTTACATAAATAAGGAGGAAGAGAATCCTTGAATGTGAGAAGACACCTGAAGAAGGCAACGTACATGAATATATCAGCCAAAATAATTCCCTTAATTCTTGAATTTTTTTTTTTGTTATATAAACTTGATTACATCTGTTGAGTCTTTTACAGATTAGAAAATATTTCACATTGGACAAATGAAAAGAAAAGTGATATTGGGATTTTTCCTTTCCTTTATTTCAAAATAATTATGGAGAGTCATGAAACATAATACCTGGTCCCAATCACATGAACATAAAATACACATACCATTTCTCCTTTCTTTTAAATTTATTTATTTGAGAGAGCAATGACAAAGACACAAACAGAGAGAGCTTCCATCTGCTGGTTCACTGTTCAGATGCCCCATGATGGTTTCTCTCTTGCCTTTAAAATAAAATGAAAATAAATAAAAATTAGGGAAAAAACCACCTCACCATAATCCTTGGAGAACTGGTACTCAAGAGAGGTAGGGAGACTTGTGCAAGGCATACAGTAAAAGGCAGAGAAAAGGTCGAAGACAGGACACTAGTGTCCCAATTCTTAACTATGACATATAGGATTTTATAAAATAAATCTAAAAAACCTGACTTCTTGGGGCCGGCGGTGTGGCGCAGCAGGTTAATGCCCTGGTCTGAAGCACCGGCATCCCATATGGGCCCTGGTTCGAGACCTAGTTGCTCCACTTCCGATCCAGCTCTCTGCTGTGTCCTGGGATAGCAGTACAAGATGTCTCAAGTCCTTGGGCCCCTGCACCTGCGTGGGAGACATGGAAAAAGCTCCTGGCTCCTGGCTTTGGATTGGCGCAGCTCCGACTGTTGCGGCCAATTGGGGAGTGAACCATCGGATGGAAAATCTCTCTCTCTCTCTCTCTGCCTCTCCTCTCTCTGTGTAACTCTTTCAAATAAATAAATAAATATTTTAAAAAATAAAAAACCTGACTTTAATATGCAGGCAAGATTGTGTTCCACACCCCCAGCAGGGCCAGGGTAAAAGCTGAAGCCAGGAATGCAATCCAGGTCTCCCACATGGGTGACAGGAACAGAATTACCTGGCCATCACCAAGGCCTCCCAGGGTCTGCAAAGTCTGAAGCTGGAGTTGGGAATCAAATCCACATATTCCCAAAAAGGATGCATGAGTCCTTTTTTTTTTTTTTTTGCCAAAAAAATGTTCAATTAATTTTATTTAAAAGTTAAAGTGAAAGAGAGAGAGGAAGAAACAGAGAGAGATTTCCATCCACTGGTTTACTCAACCTGGATCTCCCAGGAACCCAAGTACTTGGGGCATCGTCTGCTGCCTCCTGGGTGCATCAACAGGAAGCTGAATTGGAAGCACAGAGCAGCCAGGGCTTCAACCAGGCATTCCAGTAAGGGATGTGGGTGTCCAAGCAGCAGTTTAACCAGCTCCAGCTGTGTTGCAATGCCCACCCTATGATGCAGGCGCCTTAACCACTAGGCTAAATACTTACTCCCCAGTTCTCCTCTGTTCTTGTCTCATTCCGTTACCAACTTCTGTCACATCATCTTTTCAATATACGATATCTGCCCATTTCCTCCTAGGGCCATCATGTCTGCACTACTGCAGCCTCCATTCAAGCACACCCAGACTGAGTCAGTAACTTCCTGTTGCTCTTCTCATCTCTCTTGATACTTCAGTCCATCTTGTCTTGCACAGCATGTAAAATCTTTGTGATCAGGAACTATTTTCTATATTTCCTTGTATTGTAGATACAGGGACCTGACTTCGTGAACCAAAAAATCTCAACACTTGAGTTGACAATTATATTTGTCAAGAAAAATCAACAGAAACCTAAAACTGGACTTTTTCTCTGCACATATGTGGTTGTTGCTTTTAACAAATGCATTCTGGGCCTGGTGTTGTGGCATGGCAGGTAAAACTGCCTGTGATATGGACACTGGTTCGAGTCCTAGCTGCCCCACTTCCAATCCAGCTTCGTGTTAACAGCCTGGGAAAAGTAGCAGAAGATGGCCAAGTGTTTATGCCCCTGCCATCCATATGGGAGACTGGATGAAGCTCCTGGTTCCTGGCTTCCGCCTGACCCAGCCCTACCCATTGCAGCCATCTGGGGAGTAAAATGGCAGATGGAGGATCTCTCTCTGTCTCTCTATAACTCTTTCAAATAAAAAAAAAAGTTTAAAAAATTAGTGATTTCACATGGAAATCAAGTTATTCTTGAAAAATCTGAAGATCTCAAAACACTAAGTTTTTGGAAATCAGCTAAGGCTAAAACCCACCCAACACTGTATTTTAAAGGGGGAGGGAGGGCATCCATTCAGTGATTTACTCACCAAATGCCTACAACAGTCAAGTCTGGGCCAGGTCAAAGCCAAGACCCTGGAACTCCATCCAGGGCTCTCACATGGGTGTTAGGCACCAGGTATTCTGCTGCCTCTCAAGGTACACAATATAAGCAGGAAGCTGGATCAGAAGTGGAGGAGCCAGGACTTGAACAAGGCACTCTGATATAGGATGTGGGCGTCCCAGGCAGTGACTTAACTGCTGTGCCAAATACTCATACCTATGTTTCTTTTTCTTATACTTTATATCCAAAGTTGATACTCCCATACTTAAAAGAAAACAAACAGTAGAGGTATAAAGTTGGTCCCAGGTAATTAGTAGAAGTACATACAAATGATCTTTGGGTGAACATAACTTCAGTCTATGCTTCAAATATTTTCCACATATCCAAGGAATACGCACTCAGAGTCAAAATTCAGAAAACACATCAAGTACGAAAAGCACAATGGGTAAAAGGCAGCAACAACAGATGGCAAAAATCACACCTACAGTCTTCAAATAAGAAATGATAAGGCACAAAATCTAAAATAAGAATGCTTAACATTAACTCAGGCTTATCCAAGGAGATAGAGAAAAATGAGGGAGAATAAATATTCAAATATTCAAAGAGGTAATGTCCGAAAAATTTTCAGAACCATCAACAATGATTACATAGTCATAGTAGGCATTTGAGTTTCTGACCCTTTATCTGTAAGTAAAAAGTTTTTCTTAAACCACTTCCTTTAAAGTTGAACTATTTCATAGTTTTAACAACTTTATAGTTTATTTTAAGTATTCTTTAGTTTTCCAAGTGCTTTCACATACTAAAATCTATGCAACATGCTTTTAGACTTATTGGAAGTCTTGCATTTGTTTGCCTGGTAGGACACTGAAGCAATCTCTGGGTGTGCCGGCATTAAGATTATTCTTTTTAAAGCAGAGCGAGAGAAAAAAAAAATTCACAACAAAACTTTCTAATGTTAACCACAGTATACTCTAATTGTGATGGACATGGTGGTGACTACCAGTGAATTCGATCAACTCTGCAGTTTTTACTTCAACACTGCTGTAAGATATTTCCTTTGCAAACTTTTCCTATTGTTTGTTTTCTCTCCCCTGGAATGGTTGTGGGGATCTACTGAAGACCGAACCCTTCAGTGGGTTAAGTGGCAGAGTCCAGTTTCATCATGACCTTGGAGGATCACAAATCACTTTCTCCAGTTGCTCTGTGATGAAGTCCAAACCTGGGTAGTATGACGTAACAGGCTATTTCTTTGCTGCACGCCATTGCCCTCCTGCCCAGCTCTACTCTCAGTATCGGCAAGAAGACAAATCACAGTTTCCTCCAAATGACTGAGCACTTATCAGGCTGCCTGGGCACAGTATTTCTGGCCCTTCCTATCCTTCTTCAATGCTCCTCTCAGTTAAACTCTGTAGGCCTTGAGAAAGGCTACATTTTTCTCCAGGACCCTCCTCAAACTGGGCAGATGGCTGCCAAAACTTTCCTGGCTAGTCTGTGACACCTTGAACGACAATGTATTTATTGATCTCTGAGTAACATTTGGTTATCAATCTATTTATCATTTATCAATTTTTTCTTATCTTTGAGTTACAATATACTCATGTGTGACATGCGTTCAATAAATTCTTAGAGAATAAATGATATAAAACTTTGGGAAAACACTGGCCCTGGGGGTGGAATAATGAAAAGTAAGAGGTCACTGAAAAGGTGACCTTATCCTGGGCCCCACAATATCACTTCCAGGAAAGTTATCTATGTGCATAATTGACAATGTGCTTTCTGCAAGGCTAGAGCTCTAGCCCTATTTAAATAACAAGGTTCTGGACACAATCTAAAGGTCTTCAATGAGGCATTGGTTAAATAAATATAGATGGCCTGCTGCTGTAGCGTAGCAGGTCAAGCCGCTGCCTGTGGCGCCAGCATGCTGTATGAAGCCAGTTCAAGTCCTGGCTGCTCCACTTCCAATCCAGCTTCCTGCTAACATGCCTGGGAAAGCAGGGAAGATGGCCCAAATACTCGGGCCCCTGCAACCATGTGGGAGATCCAGAAGAAGCTCTTGGTTCCTGGCTTCAGCCTGGCCCAGGCCTGATCATTGTGGCCATTCAGGGGAAGAGCCAGCAGAAGAAAGATCTCACTCTCTGTCTCTGCCTCTCTTTCTCTGTAACTGCCTTTCAAATAAATAAATAAATCTTAAAAATAAATAAATAAATATAGCACAGCATACCACACAGCCATTTAAAGACATGCATAGAGTGTACCTGATGGCATGTCATGATAATTTATGCAAGGAAAAAAGGTTGTAAGGCATTCTGTTTATATATAATGTTATACTGAGGCACTTTAGTTCATGGAAGGGGCCAGTGATGTAGCGTAACAGGTTAAGCTACCTCCTGGGATGCCAGCATACCATATAGGCACTGGTTCCAGTCCTGGCTGCTCCACTTCCAGCGCAGCTCCCTGCTAAAGTACCTGGGAAAGCAGTGGGAGATGGCCCAAGTGCTTGGGCCCCTGCACCCACGTGGGAGTCCTGGAGGAAGCTCCTGGCTCCTTGCTTCATTCTGGCCATTGTGGCCATTTGGGGAGTGAGCCACAGTATGGAAGATTTTTCTCTCTCTCTCTAACTCTGCCTTTCAAATAAATATAAATAAATCTTTTTATTTAAGTTCATGGAAATAGCCTTAAAAGATAAGTTTATTTAGGTGCAAACCAATTTGCAATTCATGCACAGTTTTGTCTTAATATGCATTTTCTGTGAACTTTTTGAATGCTCTGCCTTGCTTTTCTGGTTGGTGGGATTTCAATTTGTTTTTTTTCTTTCTGATTCTAAACAACTCTGACTTTTCTTCGATGGATAAATATTTGTGATTTAAAAGTTTTGTTGTTGTTGTTGTTGTTCTAAAGGAACAGGTCCTTCTTTTCGTGCTCTCATTTCTCCTTGGAAGCCCCAGCTCTACCAAGAGCCACTTAGGAGCGCTTTCTCAACTCCCCAGGGTAGCCAGGGACAAGACCTGTCTAGCAAGGTTAGCCTCACAAAGCAGAGCCCGGGAAGGGAGAAACAGCTGATCTACGTGAGCAGTGGTCGGTAATACTCAAATACAAGGAGTGGGGAGCGCTTTGGGGACAGCAAGAGTTTGGGAGGCCCACATCCCATGTTCATGTCTGGATTCCAGTCCAGCTCAGCTTCCAACAACTTCCTGCTAACCCAGCACCCTGGGAGGCAGCAGGTGATGGCTCCAGTCCTTGGGTCCCTGCCATGGTTTGGGTTCCAGGTTCCTCACTTTGATCTGGCCCAGCCAGTGCTGTTGCCGTGGGCATTTGGAGTGTGATGGAAAATTTCTCTTTCTATGTGTCTTTCAAAAGAAAAGGGAGGGAAGGAAAGAAGAAAGAAAGAGAAAGGGTTAATTCCGCAAATTTCATGATATTGGAGAACTTCCACTGTTCTATTCCACTTTCCAAGATAAACTACCCCAGCCCCACGCCCAATTCCGCGCTGATCCTGTAACGATGTGCCAGGGGCACATGAAAACTGTGCCAGCCGGGAGGGAATCCTAATGCCGGCATATCCTTTCTTACCTCAGTCTACACTTGTGGGACATGCCCTAACCCAACCCACACACACACACACGTTTATCTTTTACTGTACTGCGCTGTTCCCGGAGTTACTGAAAAGAGCTGAGGGTCAGCCAGCAGGGAAGCCCCTGCAGGGCGGTCCCCGTGCCTGAGGCGCCTGGACCCTCTCTCCCCGCACGCCCGCACGAACGCCAGCGCGGTGACTCGACTGCTTCCGCTCGCCTTCCCGGAGGTCCCCGCCCACGCCACCGCCAGCAGGGCTACGAGGAAGTCACGTTCTGATCTCAGAGCATGTCTGAAGTTTCCGGAAGGGAAAGGGGGTGAAGTGGCAAAAGCCCTTTTCGTGGCACGTAGACAAGGCTGTCACCCAGGAGATGGCGACGGACAAAAGCGTGTCCCCAAGGTGCAGGCACCCTCGTCAACGCGGCTTGTTTACAACCAACCCTCCAGCATCCTCTTAGGATACGCGTGCCCGACCCCAATATAGGGTTGAAAATAGGGACAAAGTCTGCAACCTTTTTTTCTCCTCGCGATACACATGGGAAATACATATTTAATTTTGTTACATCACACCAAGGCAGTCACTCGAGTGAGTCCCGGCCAGAAACTCCCCGCGGCCCGGAGCGGAGGGGCTCCGAGTCACAGCGCACCTGTCCCATCGGCTACCCGGTCGCCGCTCACTGCGGTGGGGAAGCCAAGAAGCGGCTGCTCCCAGCGAAGCCTAGTGGACGCCGGTGTCGAGGCACGGGCTCGCCATTCGCAGCTTGGCCTTCCGCCGCGCTGGAGGCCAGGGACAGTCGTGGTCAGCACGATCGCTGCCTGACTTCTGAGCGAAGCTAACAGGAGTTTGTCCGCCACGAGGAAGAGGTCACGAAGGACGGTCCCCCCCCCCCCCCCGCTCCTGCAGCCGGGCGCGCCCAGGGACCTCAGGCGTCCTACCCCGGCTCCTTCCCAGACCCTGGTCGGCCCTCGGTGGGACGCAGCCCGGTGCGGAACGGGGTGGGGGTGGGGTTTCCACGCAGATTCCTGCGAAGCCCGCGGCCGGTTCCCGATCGGAAAACGCCTGTCCAGCTGGCGGGACATACATGCAGCGCTGTGGGCAGTCCCTGGGCTCCTGCCGTAGGCGGACCCAGGTTCCTCCTCGCCCGCTGTCGGTACCGGGGAGCGCCGCGGGGACCGGAGGCTCCGCTCCAGCCCGAGGACGCACCCACCCGCCCCTGCGGAAGGCGTTGGGTTTTGGCCGGGGCTTCGGGCATCAGCTGGGAACCCGGTGTTCCGGTCGCGGCGTAGCGCCTCGCGCCGCGCAAGGCAACCTAGGGGGAAAAAAAGTTACAAGGGAAAAAAAAAAAAAAAAAAAAAAAAAAAGAGCAGTTGGCACGGTGACCTCGTCCCCCGCTTCTCCCGCCCGCCTAGCCATTGCACAATTTCTACCGTGCAAGGGCCGCGTGACTCGGAGGAAGCCCAGCAAAGCGTCCCAGGTTTCCCCAGCCTGCACTAGAGCGGCTGGCGCCCCGCCCTGACCCCAGGCGCCCTTCGAGTGGTTGGGGAGCCCTTTAACATGCAGAGTGCTCCTTACTGGGAAAGACGCGCTCCAGGCCCGGCAGCCCCAGGCGGTAGACGCCTCTACCCCGACCCTGTGCGCTCTCGGGCGGTGGCAGCGTCTCGCTCCGTCTGGCGCAGGAGCCGGTCGCCTCTCTTAACAGGACGAGGGGCAGTGATGCTTAAGAACGTTCCAGACGCATTCTGGAGCTTTCCGAGAATCGCTCTTACTAGCATCGGTTATTCTAGAAGATGCTGAAAAAAATAAAGAATGAATGTTTGCAGGCAGGATTTCAATGGCTGTCTATACACTAATGCTTTCGTTTTGCAGATGAGGAAAATGAAAGGCTAAGGGACTTGTCCAGACCAACCCAGCTACTTAATGTGGAAGGCAGGGGTAAGATCTGCCTCGTGTTTTAAGTCCAAATACTTGCAATTATGAGGTGGGCGTGTTTTCCCCTCTTTATGAAGACAGAATGCCTTCTGCAGTAATCCATGCAAAACCCTACTCTACTCCCTCTTCTTACCTATTCCAAACCAAGGGAAACAAAACCCCTCAAACCCAAAAGTGATCGAATTTGGCAATGCAGGAACAAGACTTTAGCAAGGCATGTGACCTCTTATTCCCATAAATTAATACTCAAATTACTTCTTTCTTGTTTCTTCTAAAGATCTATTATTTATCTATTTGAAAGGCAAGTGACAGAGAGAGAGAGAGAGAGAGAGAGAGGGAGGCTCTTTCATCTGCTGGTTCACCTCCCAAATAGCCACAATAACCAGGGCCACTTCCCAAATAGCCACAACAGAACCAGCCCAGCCTGGTCTCCCACATGGCTGGTAGGGGCCCAAGTGCCACCATCTGCTGCCTTCCTGGGCACATAAGCAGGAACCTCAACTAGCACTCCCAGGTGGGATGCTGGCATTGCAAGCTGCAGCTTAACCCTCTGAGTCACAACCCCTACCCTGCCCCCCCACCTCTGGGGGGGGGTGTACTTCTTAATCATACAAAATATCTAAAGAAGAAAGGGAGAGTGTTTGGGTGGGTGGGGGGATAGAGTAGAAAACCTCCTAGATGATAAGGAGGTCACCAGGTTGCCACTAACCTTGCTTGCATTTCTGAGTAAGGTGTTGGGTGTTATGCTCTAAGACTGAGCAGCTGTTTCACTTAGGCATGGAATAGATTTGTTGCTTGTCTTTGAGAAGTGATAAGCTGCCATCTGTGAGAACATCAGGGACCCAGTGGCAGTCTCGCAGATGGCTGGGCAGCTTGCTGTCTTTGAAGTGTCCAGGCTGACCAACTATACCAAACGTCTACTTTAAGGATCAGAATTGACAAACAAGTCGATGTGAAGATCAAAGGAATCAAATCGCCAAGTGGTAATCATGAGTAAAACTTGGATTCTTTTGTGGGTCATCATCCCTGGTTTCCATAATGGTGATTATAATATAGTTAAAATAATACAGTCCAAGTACAAATGCTCATCCAAGCAGCTGCTGGGGCTTCCAGTGATAGGCAGATCAGCAGAGCAAACTATGAAGTGTTAAAGCCAGACACATTCTATAATGGGCATTCTCTTCTCTAATTCTGCTGTCTTCTCTCTCCCTTCTCTCCCTCTGCTATCTTGAAGGCTGGGATACTGATTTCTGGAATGTTTTGTAGGATGACTAGATAGAGCCTGTTAATTCTGACTTAATAATCCTACACAGTGTTCCCAAGATCAAGCATCATCTCCTATATTTGTCCCATATTGAGATTTCTCGCTTGCAGTTATACCAGGCTAGTGAATATGAACTTTAGGAATACAAGCTGTTGTATTCCTTTATCTTGCTTTGTTGCTTGACAAAAAAAGTATTTGATCAAACAAAAACTGTATTTTTCAAGTAATTTTTAAAGATTTATTCATTTTTTTGAAAGTCAGAGTTATATATAGAGAGGAGAGACACAGAGAGACAGAGAGAGAGAGAGAGAGAGAGAATTTCCATCCACTGATTCATTCCCCAATTGACTGCAGTGACTGGAGCTGGGCCAGGCCAAAGTCAGAAGCCAGGGTTTCCTCCGGGTCACCCACATGGGTGTGGGGGCCCAAGCACTTTGGCAATCCTCTGCTGCTTTACCAGGCACATTAGCAGGGAGCTGGATCAGACACAGAGCAGCTGGGACTCGAAGTGACACTGATATGGGATGCCAGCACTATAGACGGCAGCTTAACCTACCATGCTACATCATCGGCCCCTCAAGTCATATTTTGAGCATAACAATCTACAGGTTGGCCTTGTGATGCAGCAGGTTAAGCTGCTGCATGGGAGATCTGCATCCCATACCAGAGTGTGTGGGATCCAGTCCAGCTTCTATGAAGGCACCTGGGAGGCAGCAGATGATGGCTCAAGAATGTGGGTTCCTGCCACCTATTTGGTAAACCCCAATGAAATTCTAGACTGCTGATATCAGCCAGGTCCAGCCTTGGCTATTGAGGGCATATGGGGAATGAGCCACTCGATGGAAATAAATAAGTATTTAAAATAATAAGAATGTACTTTTGTATAAATTTTAATTTTTAAATACATTACTTACTGGGATACACAGCAGACTCATAGAATGGCAAATGCCCTGAACAGCACTCTGGCCTCAGAATCAGCCCTTAAGGCATTTGGATCTGGCTAAAAAACCCATGAGAGTTTCTCAGGCATGGAAAGCCAAGACACTCTGGCAAAAAATGACCTAAATGAAAGATCTCTGTGAGTGAGATCCCAGTGGAAAAAACAGGTCATCAAAGAAGGAGGTACCCTTTCTCTGAAGGGAGGAGAGAACTTCCACTTATGGCCTTGTCTAAATAAGGTCGGAGTTTGTGAACTCAAGAGGCTTCCATAGCCTTGACAGCTCATGACAAGAGCCTCGGGTGATTACTGACATCATAAATAAGAGTGTCAATTGTTAAATCAACAACAGGAGTCACTGTGTACTTACTCCTCATGTGGGATCTCTATCCTTAATGTGTTGTACTATGAGAATTAATGGTAAAACTTGTCTTCAAACAGTACTTTATACTTTGTGTGTCTGTGTGGGTGCAATCTGTTGAAGTCTTTATTTAGTATATACTAAGTTGATCTTCTGTATACAAAGATAATTAAAAATGAATCTTGATGAAGAATGGGATGGGAGAGGGAGTAGGAGATGGATGGTTTGTAGGTGGGAAAGTGGTTATGGGGGGAAAACCGCTATAATCCAAAAGTTGTATTTTCACAATTTATATTTATTAAATAAGTTTTCTAAAAAATACATTACTTATTTCATTGAACACCATTACATTATTGGTGTTGAAAAAAAACTTTTTAAAGATTTATTTATTTGAAAGGCAGAGTGATAGAGAGAGAGGGAACTGGGGAAGGAAGGAGGGAGGGAGAGAGAGAAATCTTCCTTCTGCTGGTTTATTCTCCAAATGACCGCAACAGCCATGTCTGAGCCAGGCCGAAACCAGGACCAGGAATTCAACCTGAGTCTGTCATGTAGGTGGCAGGGGCCCAAGTACTTGTGCCATCATCCACTACTTTTTCCAGGCACATTAGCAGGGAGCCAGCTTGGAAGTGGAGTAGTCGGGACTTGAACTGGCCCTCTGATATGGGATGCTGCTATTACTGAACATGAATGTGGACATTCTAGCAGGAGACCTTTTATATCTTTATACAAGTATAAGTAAACTACAGATAAAAATCTGTTTCTTAAGATGGGAATCAATTTGGTAAAATTAAATCATATTGATAATTGATAAACCACTTTAGGCTTTTTGACTAGTTTATGAAATCAAACTTAGATGTGAAAGATTCTGAAGTTTGAAAACCTCTTTAGGTCTCAGTGTTTGCTTTACAGCTTTTGTTTAAAATACTTCCCTATCTGTCCTATCAAACAAGACAAATAAAGAAAACTTTTAAAAAACTTCACTCTTCATAATGTTTACCCTGAATCATCCAGAAATGATTCAATAGTATTATGTTTAATGTAACCTAGCTAAAATTTTTCAGTTACCTTAGAAACATTATTGGTGTTGAAAAAAACTTTTTAAAGATTTATTTATTTGAAAGGCAGAGTGATAAAGAGAGAGGGAAATGGGGAGGGAGGGAGGGAGGGCGAGCATCCAAGATGGCTGAATAGGGAAAAGACATGCAGCTTCTGACCAGCGGAAGAGGAAAAGCAGAGGAAGTGCAGTCCCAAGGGAGCTGGGGGAGATGCCTGCAATGGAAATTCTATGGAAAGAAGTGAGATGCCAGGGCTGGCACTGTGGCATAGCAGGTAAAGCTGCTGCCTACAGTGCCGGCATCTCATATGGGCACTGGTTCAAAAAAGAAAAACTGTTGATTTTTATCTTCTTTTTCTACAAATCCTCTTTTGCCCATGATATTGGAGAATCGTGATCTTGAAACAAACTGACAGAAATGTGTGGTTTGAAAGTTCTGAGTGGCCCTAATAGCTAATGTGCGCAGGTCAGGTCGGGGCTAGGGGCAGTCACTAGTCACCGATCAAGAGCGACTTGAGATCAGTCTTTATTTTTTCTAATGAACTTTTTTTTAAAAAGATTTATTTATTTACTTGAAAGGCAGAGTTACAGAGAGAGCAGAGGCAGAGAAAGAGAGAGAGCTTCCCTCTGCTGGTTCACTCCCCAAATGGCCACAATGGCTGTAGCTGGGCTGATCCACAGGTCTCCCATGTGGGTGCAGAGGCCCAAGAACTTGGACCACCTTCCGCCGCTTTCCCAGGAGCATTAGCAGGGAGCTGGATTGGAAACGGAGCAGCCGGGACTTGGACTGGAGCCCATATTGGATACCAGCACTGCAGCTGGCGGCTTTATCCATTATGCCACAGTGCCAGCCCTGAAAATTATTTTTAACTCCATTTTTCCATCAATATTTTTTAAAGATTTATTTGAAAGGCAGAGAGAGAGAGAGAGAGAGAGAGACAGACAGACAGACCTTCTGTCTACTGGTTCATTTGCCAAATGACCAGAACAGTAGGAGCTGTGGTGATCCAAAGCAAGGAGCTAAGTGCTTCCTGTGGATCTCCCATATGGGTGCAGGGGCCCAAGTACTTTTCCCAGGTACATTAGCAGGGAATTGGATCAGAAGTGGAGCAGCAGGCCTTGAACCAGTGCCCATATGGGATGCTGGCACTGCAGGCAGTGGCTTTACCCAACACACCACAGCACCAGCCCCTCCATTAATCTTTTAAAAAGGGATTTATTCGTTTTAAAGATTTATATTTTTTATTTGAGAGAGTTACATAGAGAGAAGGAGAGACAGAGAGGTCTTCTATCCTCTGATTCACTTCCCAAATGGCTACGACGGCCAGGGCTGGGCTAGGCCTAAGGCAGGAGCCAGGAGCTTCTTCCAAGTCTTGCCTGTGGGTGCAGGGGCCCAAGCACTTGGGCCATCTTCTGCTGCTTTCCCAGGTGCATTAGCAGTGAGCTGGGTCAGAAGTAGAGAAGCCAGGTCTCCAAACGCTGCCCATATGGGATGCTGGTCTCAGGTAGAAGCTTAACCTGCTATGTCATTACACTGGCCCTATTTATTTATTTGAAAGATGAACAATACAGACAGGGAGGGACAGAGGAGAGAGAGGGAATCTTCCATCCACTGGTTTACTTCCCAAATGGCCAGAATAGCCAGATCTGATGAAGCCAGGATCTCCATTTGGGTCTCCCACATGGGTAACAGGGGCCTGAGTGATGGCCATCATCTGCTGCTTTCCCAGGTGCGTTAGCAGGGAGCTGAATCCGATATGGAGCATCCGGGACTTTACTGCTGCTGAGATATAGGATGCCAGGCAAGCTCAACCTGCTTTGCCACAATGCCAGCCCCTGGATATCAGTCTTAAGGGAAGATACATGGAACCCACTTTCATGAGTGTAAACAGGAAGAGCCAGCTTCAGCAAGCCCAGAGTCTGACTGTAATTGGGTACCAGGAAGAAAGACCTGGTAATGTACATGGAAACCTGTCTCCTCCCCATCATCTGTCTATTCCTGGGTCTCTGGCAGTCAGCTCTGGCTGTACTTCTGGACCACGAGTCACATAACCAACCCTCTCGCTCCCATGGTGACCCAGTCTGGCTACCTGGAAAGAGGCTGACCATCAGACTTGATTCTGTCTTTAAGTTCTCAGAGAGAAGACTGTGACCGGCACAGCTTGAGGTTGGTGACAACTCTTGATCCAACAACTGTGATTAAATTGGAGAAATAGTTGATGTCACTTTGGAGAAATTCTGGGATGCAGGTTAAAGGTTTTAAATATTTTGTAGACTTCTTCATTACAGCTGTGCAGATTCAATGAGTATAAAAAGTCTCGATCAAAAATTATATTCAAGAATCTTTGAAGGTAAGAAAGGCTATTTAAATGCTTATGTTTATGGGGCCAGCACTGTGGCGTAGTGGGTGGGGCCACCGCCTGCAGTGCCGGCAACCCATAGGGGTGTCGGTTTGAGACCTGGCTGCTCCACTTCCAATCCAGCTCTCTGCTGTGGCCTGGGAAGGGAGTGGAGGATGGCCCAAGTCCTTGGGCCCCTGCACCCTCATGGGAGACCTGGAAGAGGCTCCTGGCTCCTGGCTTTGGATCGGCGCAGCTCCTGCCGATGTGGCCATCTGGGGAGTGAACCAGCAGATGGAAGACCTCTCTCTCTCTCTGCCTCTCCTCTCTGTGTGTAACTCTGACTTTCAAGTAAAATAAATATTTAAAAAATATTTATGTTTATTATACAATTGTTTATAAGAGAAAGTTGTAAACAACTTGAATGTTCATCAATAAAAGAATGGTTAAAGCATCTATGGTATATCCATCTTACAGAATTTAATACAGTCATTAAGAGGAATAATATAAAACTATAACCTGGGGCTGCCATGGTGGCAAAGTAGGCTAAGCCACAACTTGTGAAACTGGCATCTTATATCTTAGAACCCGTTCAAGCCCGGGGTGCTCCGCTTCCCATCCAACTCCCTGCTAATGTGCCTGGGAAAAGAAGAAGATGGCCAAAGTACTTGATCCACTGCAACCCACCTAGAAGAGACTTAGATGGAGTTCCAAGCTCCTGGCTTCAGGCTGGATCCTTCCCAGCTATTGTGGCCATTTGGAGAGTGAACTAGAGGATAGAAGATCTCTCTCTCTCTCTCTCTGTCACTCTGCCTCTCAAATAATAATTCTTCTGAAAAAATGAAGCTATGATCATTAACATGAAAAAATCTGTTAAAACACAAAAATCAAGTAAAGTAGTAAAATGATATATATATATTTATATAAGATGATCTCATTTGTATCAAAATACTTTTAAAATATGTAGCTTTCTAAAAGGTTGAAACATTTCTGAAAGAACATTCATGAAACTGTTCAAGTGGTTTCCTCTGGGGAAGGAAGTGGGATGAGTGGGTGGGGGCAGACAAGAAGAAAGACAGTCACATTTTGTGACATGTTAATAGGCTTAAAAATAAAAAAGTACAGTATCATTAAAAATTAAATGACAAAGAATGGCAATTCCATTTTCAGGAAGACATTGAAAGACATGTACCTCGTCTCAGAAATTAGAATAATAATACCCATCTTTTCTGAAGCAGCTTACAGTTTGATCACTAACATCTGTGGTGTTCCAGGCACTTTTTAAGTCTTTTTCATGTGCTAATTCATTTAATCCTTACAAGAATCCTATGAGGTAGTACTGTTACTCTCCCATCTCACTGATGCAGCACAGAGAAAATGAATTCCTGGCCAGTGGTTGTACTGTCAGTAAGCGGCTCTTGAACCTTAACTGTTGATCACTTTTATTATTCATGTGAAAGTGTTCTCACATGTGTGGACACATGTGCCCCAAGCACATGCTATGCCTCATGTCACCTGGGCTATGGGGAGACCCATGTCTCAGTGCTGCAATTGCCTCTTTTTTTCTTTTTTTCTTTTTTTTTTTTTTGACAGGCAGAGTTGGGCAGAGAGACAGAGAGAAAGGTCTTCCTTTCCATTGGTTCACCCCCCAAGTGGCTACTACGGCCGGCGCACTGCGCCTATCCGAAGTCAGAAGCCAGGTACTTCTTCCGGGTCTGCCATGCAGGTGCAGGGCCCAAGCACTTGGGCCATCCTCCACTGCCTTTCCGGGCCACAGCAGAGAGCTGGACTGCTAGAGGAGCACCCGGGACAGAATCCAGCGCCCCAACCAGGACTAGAACCCAGGGTGCCGGCGCCACAGGAGGAGGATTAGCCTAGTGAGCTGCGGTACCGGCCGCAATTGCCTCTTCATGTTCATGTCCCCACTGGGCTTGGAGCTCCACCATGCAAGGCATATCTGTTTTGTTCTTGTTAGACCCTAGTTGTTCATTCTGGCACATAGGAAGTGGGTAATTATGAATGCTCTGGTGATTTAAATTGTCCACACAGTCTCTGACATTCCCTTTTAGAGGAGAACCTAAATTCCTTTGGCTTGGTTATGGGCTGGATTTGGTGACTCACTTCTAAAGAATGCAATAAAGCACAAGTGGCAGTGTGTGGCTAGCGCATGCATGCGCTCTCTCTCTCTCTCCCCTCCCCAGCTCTGCCCAGCTTACACACTCCAAGGGAAACTGGCTACTAAGTCACCAGGAGAGGCCTGTGTGGTGAGAAACAGGCCTCCAGCCCACAGCCAGCAGGGAACTGAGGCCTGCTGTGAAAAGCCCTGTGGATGAGCTGGGAAGTGGATCCCTCAGCCTCAGTCCAGTCTTCAGGTGGCTGCGGCCCAGCTGCCCTCTGGACAGAAACCTGATCCCGAGCCAGAATCAGTCAGCTGATCTGCTTCCAAATTCAGGACCCTAGAAACTGAAATGGGGACAGTTCATTGTTTGAAGGCACTAACTTTGGAGGCAATTTGTTTCATAGCAATAGATAAGTATTATCAATATTTCTGATGAACAAATAACATATACATATGAATATAACTGTAACTTGGATATTTATGGAATATGTTAATGTGAGTTTCTCTCTCTCTCTTTTTTAAAGATTTATTTAAAAGTCAGAGTTACAGGGGCCGGCGCTGTGGCGCAGTGGGTTAAAGTCCTGGCCTGAAGCGCCAGCATCCCATATGGGCACCAGTTCTAGTCCTGGCTGCTCCACTTCCGATCCAGCTCTCTGCTATGGCCTGGGAAAGCAGTAGAAGATGGCCCAAGTCCTTGGACTCCTGCACCCACGTGGGAAACCTGGAAGAAGCTCCTGGCTCCTGGCTTCGGATGGGCGCAGCTCTGGTTGTTGTGGCCATCTGGGGAATGAACTAGCAGACAGAAGATCTCTCTCTCTCTCTCTGTCTCTACCTTTCTCTGTAACTTTGTCTTTCAAATAAATAAAATAAATATTTAAAAAATATCATGGAAGATATAATTTAAAAAAAAGTCAGAGTTACAGAGTTACAGAGAGAGAGATCTTCCATCTGCTAGTTCACTACCCATACAAAGGCCAGGGCTAGCCTGCCTGAAGTGCCGGCATCCCATATGGGGTATGGTTCGAGACCCGGCTGCTCCACTTCTGATCCGGCTCTCTGCTATGGCCTCAGAAAGCAGTAGAGGATGGCCCAAGTCCTTGGGCCTCTGCACCTGCGTGGGAGACCTGGAGGAAGCTCCTGGCTCCTGGCTTCAGATGGGCACAGCTCCGGCTGTTGTGGCCAACTGGGGAGTGAACCATCGGATGGAGGACCTCTCTCTCTCTCTCTCTCTCTCTCTCTCTGCCTCTCCTCTCTCTGTGTAACTCTGACTTTCGAATAAACACATAAATCTTAAAAACAAACAAACAAAAAAAAGGCCAAGGCTGGGCTAGGTCAAATCCAGGAACCAGGAACTTCATCCAGGTCTCCCACATGGATGACATCTTATGCTGCTTTTCTCAGACCATTAGTGGGGAGCTGGATCAGAAATGGAGCAGCTGGGCCGGCGCTTCGGCTCACTAGGCTAATCCTCCGCCTGTGGCACCGGCACCCTGGGTTCTAGTCCCGGTTGGGGCGCCAGATTCTGCTCTTCCAGTCCAGCTCTCTGCCGTGGCCCAGGAGTGCAGTGTAGGATGGCCCAGGTCCTTGGGCCCTGCACCCGCCTGGGAGACCAGGAGGAAGCATCTGGCTCCTGGCTTCAGATCAGCGCAGCGCGCCAGCCGCACCACACCGGCCGTAGAGGCCACTTGTGGGCTGAACCAATGGAAAAAGGAAGACCTTTCTTTCTCTCTCTCTCTCTCTCTCTCTCTCTCTCTCTCTCTAACTCTGCCTGTCAAAAAATAAAAATAAAATAAAATAAAATAAAAAGAAGTGGAGCAGTTGGGATGTGAACCAGTGCCCAAAAGGGATGCTAGTGTGGCAGGCTGCTTCACGCCCCATGCCAATACACCACTACACCACAATGTCAGCCCGACGCTTTCCTCTTTGACACTTTCTTTCATATGATCTTTCCCTTAGTTGACCAAAGCATACATTTGCTTGAAGGCAGTGTGTAAAGATAAAGTTAGGACTGTGAAAGCAGGAATTTCAAAAGGAAGTGTTGGGAGCAGGTGTTTGGCATAGCTGTTTAAAGCATCTTCCTTCAGTTCTCAGATTCTGACTCCAGCTTCCTGCCAATGCAGCTCCTGAGAGGCAAGAAGCTCAAGTCACTGGGTTCCTGCCACTCTCATAGGAGACCTGTATTGAGTTCCAGGCTCCTGGCTCTGACCTTGGTCCAGCCTAGTCCCAGACTTAACTGTTGCTGGCATTTAGGGAGTGAAACAATGAACAGGAGCTCTCTGTCTCTTTACATCTCAAACAAATAAAAATTAAAGCTAAAGTGGTCTTTATTTATTATTAAAAATAAGAGACTAAGCCACCACTACACACCTAATTGTACCTGGGAGGCAGCAAATGATGGCTCAAGTACTTGAGTCTCTGCCATCCACATGGGAGGCCTGGATAGAGTTTCTGGCTCCTGGCTTTGGCCTGGCCCAGCCCCCACTGTTGTGGGCCTATGAGGAGTGAATCAGTAGATAAAAACTCTCTCTCTTTCTCTCACTTTCTCTCTCCTCCTCCTCTTGCTCTCACTCCTCCTTTCAAACAAACAAAACTTTAAAAATAAAATAAAATAAAAAGGAAGAGTTAAAAATCAGCTTCTGATATCCAAAATAGGATTTTTGGTCAAAATGGTTATTTAGAAAGCCAGACAATAAGTGAGAGAGGAAAGATTTTCCACATTCCTTTGCTACTGACTCAGCTCAACGTGGTAGACCAGCTTCCTCTACAGGGTAAAGAGAGAACTTGCCCCACCTGCTATCACTAGACCGTGGAGCCTGCTGTCCCCAGATGGAAGAGGCTAGGACGCAGAGGAAGCGGAGGGTTTGAATGGCTTCCTATTCCAGGAAACTGTGGGGGAGAATGCAGGCACTGGAGTTAGGAGAGCCAGGCAGTGGGATGTTTTCTTGATCTCCGGAATAAGATGGAAAGAGAAAAGATGTGTTAGTATGGTTGAGGGGACCCCAAACTCTGCCTTTTGGAGGAAGAAATGTCAGGTTGTGCAGATTTATGGGTACAGCAGTATAGAGTGGATCGCCTGGGCATAAGCCCATTTGGAAGATGACGTCTGTTTTGTGTGATATTCCTGGCAGTGTGTCAATGCACTGCCAAAACTTGGAAGCCTTGTGCATCCTCAGGGATTCAATTACATGCAGTGTCATTTTCCTAGCTGCACTGTTCCACTGTGCTGGAAGGAAGGAAGGAAGGAAGGAAGGAAGGAAGGCAGGCATCTGTTTGGGGGCTGGTGCTGTGGCATAGCAGGTAAAGCCACCACCTGCAGTGCCGGCATCTCATATGGGCGCTGGTTTGAGTCTCAGCTGCTCCTCTTCTGATATAGCTCTCTGCTATGGCCTGGGAAAACAGTGAAAGGTGGCCCAAGTCCTTGGGGCCCTGCACCTGCACGGGAGACCCAGAAGAAGCTCCTGACTCCTGGCTTCGGATTGGTACAACTCTGGCCATTGTAGCCATCTGGGGAGTGAACCAGTGGATGGAAGATTTTCTCTCTCACTCTCTCTGCCTCTCAAATAAATAAATCTAAAAAAAAAGATGGATAAAAATGAAGAAGAAGGAGAAAAGAAAAGAAATCTGGACATTGTGAAGACATCATACCTGAAAGAAGTTGGCTCAAGAAACTACCAAGATCCTCATTTCTTAAAGTCATTCTTACTCTGTTTTTAAATTTCTTACAAAAATAGCTTGGTTTCTAGCACAGGTTGTGTGCAAGCCCAGATACACACAGTACTGACTGAACTTGTGCTATCATGTGAAGAGTGTGGGAATTAAATGAAATTTCAGGTGCTTGTTTATCACTGACACTTAGTAAGCGTTCAATAAATAAATACTAATTTCCTTAACACACACACACACACACACACAATGGTTGAGTGGAAGGCTAAGACCAAGGGGTTTCTCTTCTACTTCCCATTTGGAATTCCAAATGGATATCACTGATTAAAGTGAGTAGCACCATGGGGTGGGGCCCAAAGGGGTTTGAGAGCAGAGCAGAATAATCAGGTTTACAAAAAGGGAGGGGGTGCATGTGGGCACCTGTCTGGTCTGGAAGGGACTTGGATGTTCCTGCACTTCCTAGAGGGGACTCAGAATCTGGCTCAGCTGAGAAAGAGCAGGTTACAGGGCAGTTAAAGTGATCCAGAGCAAAACTGGAGACTGAGACACTGGATGAGGATATAGCAAAGATTCAAAGAGGTCTATAGTGCCAGTGAGAACTAGGGCAGGCCCGAGTCAGACCACAAGGAGCAGCTGGGACATGAACCGGTGCCTATGTGGGACAGTGGTACACCAAATGGCTTTACCTCTACGCTACTACGCAACGTCAGCCTCATCCTTTTCTCTTTTGCATTTTGCATGTGGAGAAAAATGACAACTCAGGAAATACCCCAGCTACAGTCCTGTGCACCTGAGGACAGCAGAAAGTCAGAAAGTGCACCTGCAAGGCCTTGACAGACCCCAGTGCAGGGAGGAGCTCATCCCATCACCTAACTCCAGAGACGGACATCCGGAATGCTCACCAGAGATAGAGTACTAAATGCCAACATTGTTAAAAAGCGAAATTATATTGAAACCATCAAAGTACTAAAAAGACATCAAGGAATTATCAGGAAAAAATATCTAACGTATACTGAGTATTCAAGCCACTTTTATCTTGAGGGCACTTGATAATCCAGCCAATTTGAGTCTATCTTCCTAAGGAATGAAATACAAAAGAAAATCCAGGGGCCGGTGCTGTGGCACAAGTTAAGCCACTGCCTGCAGTGCTGGCATCCCATATAGGCACCGGTT